GAGCAGAGGGGCAGAAAGGGGGCTCGCCGTGGCGGGAGAAGCGAGGAGAGCTGGATCGCGGAGGTCGGCGCCTGACTGCTGAGCGCGCCCGCCCCTTGTGTTGGTCCCTCCTGTTTGAATGATGCCAACTGTTGTTCTTGGGTCCTTCTATAATATCATGTTGGGGTTCGGGTACAGGGGATGTGAGCTGGGGAACTCAGACACTTGTGGGCCACTCCTGATCTCCACGTCTCAGTCCACGCTCCTTCCATCCAAGCTGACACTTCGTTCTGCTCAGTTCCAGTAGAAATACCGCTGAGCTGGGGATGGGTGGTAGGCTGTTTATGTACGGTGGTGATTTTAGGGGAGGGGAGTTACATCCCATACCCGTGTGCTACATCTCAATGACAGAAATTCCAAGTCAAGGTACTGAACATCCAAGATCTGAGGAAATGCATCAATATTCGGAAACCATTTTAATTTTCAGTGCACATGCTAATTGCCCCGTTTGATTACATCGGGACTAATATAGATTATGCCTGGTGTGATGAACCACGCTGGTTTGACGGAACCAGTGTCTAGCAAACAAACAAACAAAAAAATGCAGTGTGAGGTTTTAAGGTTTTTAAATAGATTTTTGTGATTTTTTTTTTAACTGGGAAAGAAATTAATCATCATTTAAAATCACGGGTTAGACAATTCTTTAACAAGAGTAGGTTGCAGTTCCAGCCGCCGTGGAAGCTTAGCAACCCCAGACGCCCGCCCAGCCGTCCGGGGTGTGAGGGCTGACGTGCTGCTGAGCTCCCTCAGTGCAGAGCCGTGGGTGTCAAACTGTGGAGGAGAGCTGTTCAGCCCCCCTGCTTCAGGGGGACAGGAAACCTGGCTCTTTCCCCAGAGAAGAGCCTTGGTAAATCTCTCTCCAAGCGCTATTGTTCCTTCATTAGCAGTACGAAAGTTTTCATACATTTTTCATAGTCATGTTGAATCATGAAGAATTATCCTTGTCGAGGGTTCCATATTTTGCTTTTAATGAAATCCACTGTTACGCTCCCTATTAAATATGGAAGTGAAAAAAAGTTTATCACTAGTAAAAAATCTAAGATGTTTCAGTGCTTAAAAATAATCTAATATGCTCCTCTTAGTATAAATATAATTATCTGGAGATTAAAATATTACATAATTGTTGGTCTGAATTAACTTTTGCCTCTTACAATGCATATGAAAATAAACTGCATATTATAAGAGAGTAACTTCGAAACATAAAAGGGGATTAAATGACTGAAGATAAAAACAAGAGTAATTTAAATGTTACTTCTAAGGAAAAATTTATGTAGAACTGTGGCTTCCAGTAATTGTTGACATATTCCCCTAAGTACTGCGTCTGTGATTTTTCCTGGTATCAATCATTGGAAGCAATTTGGGCAATGACATTCTGACGTGCGTTCCTGCTCCTTTATTTACGCCACTCGCCTGCCCCCTCGCGAGGCTGTGCCGTTCCGGGCGGGCACAGGACACGGACTCTGTCATATCTGTTATGGCATGGTCAAAGGATAATTTATTGTCAAATAGAAAAATAGGTCAACACTAATGTCACTTGATGATCAACCCCCACCACGTTTAATAACACACCCCACCAGCGTGCGTGCCCGTGCAGCGCTTGCTGTTTTATTGGGACTACCTAGCTGCGCGGCGGTGTAATTACTGAGCTGTCAGAGTGATAAGTGGGATTAATGGCAGCCCGGCGCGCTTTGGCGCTGCAGAGCGCCCAGAGAGTTGCAAGGTGGCACTATTATCAGAGTCGGCCTGCTCTGGCATATTCCGGCCCCGGAGGGAGAGAGGGAGGCTGCAATTCAGGTTTGCGGTGCCCTGCCTCACTAACAGCTGACATTTCCAACAGCTGTTACTTGTGAACTAGCTCCATAATAAAAGGAGAGGTATTTGGTAAAGAGGCTTAATAGCCACAATGAAAACTCCTTACGTTGTCAGTGCTGTTAAGCAGATCTGTTTATGTTGAAGTAAAGATTTCCCTGGAAGAACAGAAACGTACACCGGGCACTAATTTGACTCATTCATACCTGCTGACGTTATAACTTTATTTTTTAATTGCCTTATGATCCAAGTTGGGTCATAGAGAGAACAAAAAAAAGAAAAAAAAAAAGCAGAAAACTTGTGACTTCATTAGGGATCACCAGAATATGCATCTGTGTGGCTACATTCCTAGTCAATGACACGTATTTCAAAAAACTGTTGAAATGACTTTTAAAAAAATAAATGAGAGGATACATAAGGTGGCATAGTATTTGCTAAGTATTTAACTATTTTATTTTATGACATAATAGAATACCCTTCCAAATTGCTGTGAATGCTCAGCACATTAATTTCTGTGACGGTGGCGCACAGACGCACCGCCCCACGTTGGCCTGCAGGACCGAAGAGGCCATGCGACATGCCCTTCTCGCATTGCCGTTCGATGGATGCTGCTGCTGATCACATTCCTAAAATTCTTCTTGCACTCAGTAACAGAGTTTTAGGGGAAAACTCATAAGCATGAGAAGATGGGAATTCTACGAAATGGCAGATGTGAATCTAACAATGGCATTTACAGAAATGGCAGGAGAGCGGTTTAATGACTACATCTCAGAGAGGACAATTGGTTATGAAAAGCCTTCGGTACTCATTGTGTAAAATTTAATTTAGAGAGAAGGCTAAGGGCACAGACCAGAGAAAAGAGATCAGATGTAAAAACAAGGTATTAATTAGGTCCTGAGAAGTCCGCTCAGATAATGAAGAGGACTCTTCTCCTCACAATAGAATAACAAGAAGACGGGTATTGTTTTCTCGAAGGAAATGAACCAAGGTCTTTACACCAGAAACTGGGTAGGAAATGAGCTACAGAGCCACCTTTGTCAACGGAGCAAGGTAGATTCATTCTTGGTGACATTCTCAGAGAGTTCTGGTCTTCAGACAAATGAGATGGTATTATATCTTAAGTCTAAGATCTCTCCTCTATTTTTTTTCTGCCCCCACGCCCAGCGTATGCCAGGTCAAATTCCATTAGTTCCCATGCCCTATCCTACCCTGCTTCATTTCCCCAATGCCCACTCATGCTTCTTTTATTATTAAAGTTATTGGGCTGCCATTAGTTAATATGGTTATATAGGGTTCCCCCTGGCTGCTGTGGCTCAGTTGGTTGGAGCGTCGTCCCATGGTCTGAAAGGTCGCGGGTTCCGTTCCCTGTCAGGGCCCATGCCTGGGTTGAGTCCCGGTTTGGCATGTACAAGAAGCAACTCAGTGATGTTTATTTCTAGCATCGATGTTTTCCTGCCTCTCTCTTTCCCTCCTTTCCCTTCTCTCTCTAGAAAAGAAAAATGGGCGTGTCCTCAGGTGAGGTAAAGAAAACATTACATAGGTTTCACGTGTACATTCCATGATATACTGTCTATTTTGCATTGTGTGCCCACCATCCAAACCCAAATCTCCTTCCCGCACCATGTGCTTGACCCGTCGTCTCCCTTACCACCCCCAAACACACGCAAAGGCCAGTGCCTGGATGCGAGAAGATATTTGCAAACAGCAGCTCCGACAAGGGTTTAACATCCAAAATATATAAAAAGCCCATATAACCGAACACCAAATAAACAAGCATTCAGTGAAAACGTGGGCGAAGCACCAGGATAGAGGCCTCTCCCAGGAAGAGGTGCACCCGCCCACCCATTCTCCAAGCTCCCCTTTAATTGCTCCTCCTTGCAAAGATCTTTTCCTGCCTCATGAAATATTTAAGGAATGGATGAACAAGTGGAGCAGCGAGCGTTAATGCACACATGGAAGGCCGTTCTACCCAGTGGCTTCCGTCCTGGTGTCGTTACAGGATTGTGATTCTCACTGAGTGCATCCAACCACGTACAACAGAATCGCCCCAAAGGGTTTTTCCAGAGCGCAGACTCGCAGGCCGGTCCTCCGCCCCACGAGGGGCTCCTCTGCGGGGCCATGACAGCTACCAGCCTTCCCGGGTGGTCCTGCGCGGTTCCCGGGGAAGCCGCCGCTGAGACGCGATGAGCGTGCAGGGGGGTTGGTGGAAGGCCCACGTCTGCCCGGCAGGGCAGGGTCAGGACTGCAGCGGGCCCACGGCCCTGCTCCCGGAGGCGGGGCGAGGCCTGGCCTGGACCCCTCACTGGCCTGTCAGCGAGTGGGCTGCATGGGTGGGGTGGGGCTTGACTTCGGCCGACCCTGTCTCCCCAGCTGAGGGCACAGCACCTGGGAGGCGAACACCTCAGCCTGGGAGGAGGTGGGTATGGGCTGTGTGTCACGCAGCTGCCACAAAGCAGGGTCGCCATGTGACCAGTGTGTAGGCTAAAGCAACAGAAAACCGGAGGGGGAAGGGGTGGAAGAGAAAGAAGGAGTGGAGGGAGGAGGGGGCGAAGCAAGGAAGGAGGGATGCTAGGGGGTAAAATGAGACAGCTTACCTTTCCCACCTGCGCTGGGTCCTGCGGAAGGAAGGCCCGCCTGAGTGTGGTTGGTAGGGTAATGGTAAGGGTATCATAATTTCTAGTTTTAACGTGAACATTTCACCTAAAATGTCATAGGGTGTGCTTGAGTGATATTGTTATATTACAGAATTACATACTCATGAATTTGTAATAAAACATGTAGTATAAAGGAGGTGTTATTTGTAACTTCTATCGTAAAAGATTGCGTTCTCTAATGTTACCCGAGTTGTAAGGGATCAAAACAAGAACAGAGTCAATGACTGAAGGATGGATCTTAAGTTAGTCTGAGCCTCCAAAACTCTAGGGGGCGCACCAACAGCAGCAGCAGAGTGCCCTGCTCTGTGTATCGTGGCAGGTGTGTAAAAAGTGAAACAATACATGTACTTACTGCTTGAACAAAGGTTTTGTACCTAGTAGTACAGTTTTATGTGCTCTGACCGCTCGCTCGCTCGCTCTGAAGGGGCGGAGGAGGACATGTAGAGCCCGGGCTCAGTTACTCGCTGGTTTCACTAATCTGGTGGTTCTGTTTCTTAGGTGCCTGAAATGTGCAGACGCCCCGTGCCAGAAAAGCTGCCCAACGAATCTGGACATCAAGTCGTTCATCACAAGCATTGCTAACAAGGTAAACCCCGATTTGTTTCTGCAGACGAAACCTACTAACACCCTTTGATCTTGAGCTCCGCTGTGACACGTGACCGACGCATAGAGCTGTGTGTTGGTAGGGTGAAAGAATTAAAAATATGGTTTCTATAGGCAGGTGAAAATGTAGCCTACTTTATTAATTAGTCTCCTCCAAGCTGTGATGTGATTATTGTGAAACTGCATATTATTGCTTATTGTCTTAAAGATTAGTTTATGTCGAAATGACTGATTTTTAAATCTACACCTTCCCTGAAGGGATTGATCTAGTTTCAGGTTGCTAAATGCTTAGACATAGGAACTCCCATTGATTATCAAAACACATTTCAAATTTGTCAGCTATCTTTGTTTTAAAGTGTGCTTTGGTAATAAGTTTGGCATACCAAGGCACGTCAAAGGAATGGAATTCTCAGTTCTACTAACATTCACTTAACTTGCTTACAATTTGGAGTAATCTATAGAGACTGATAAGAGTTACAAACAAAAAATATCCTCCAAAACCAAAAGAAAGAAGGGAAGGAAGGAAGGAAGGGAAAGAAAAGAAAAGAAAAAAGAAAAGAAAAAGGTGCATGAATAGAATAAGAGGAATTTTGATTTTTAAGTTTTTTTTAAAATTTAATCAATGTAAGGCTATGCCCAGTTTTCATTCACTAAGTGAATGGTTGGTTGATTGAATGACTAATTAATAGTATCTTGTTTGTGAGGAGAGCGTTGCAAGCTCTTAGCCAAGTGTCTTTTCCTTTAACAAGTGAACAAAACCTGAAGGACATCTTCTCAAAAGGATGTGGAGAATCCTTTTCAAAGGTTTAATACCTATATTCTAAAATGCTACAAAAATCTATGTGCTGGTTCAACAACCCCATAGCTTTATATATAAAAATTATTTCTTAATATGTCAATTATTTTAAAAAATAGTTTAGGAGAAAAATGAGAAATTTATATAGCTCTAGGATTTCAACAGAATTAAAGGTTATCACTGAGGTAAAGAGCCTGGTATTAACCTACATGGTCAGATTTATAAGGATTTGAAATCTAGGTTGAATTTTTAAGTTGACCACTTCCTGTGAATCCAGGAAAAATTACTTATCTCTTTACTTTTATTTATGAAAGACAGTACCTGTCTTACAAGGTTTTGCTATAAACTATATAATACATGAAAAACCTCTAACATTAATTATTCAGGAAATATTTTGTTGTGGAATTATGTATTTCCCTATTCATTCAATATGACAAATATCCTCCAAGTGATTGCTACATTAATAGTTGTTATTTATAGAACACCTACTGTGTACCCAAAGCATCTGCCGTTTAGAAGTTTGGAATCTATGAGCAAGGACAGATATACTAAAAGAATAACCATAATTCAATGTGGTTAGGGTCACACCCCAGGAAATGCACTGAGTGTGTGAAAAAGCCAGAAATGCTGGTGTGTACAAGGCAGGTTGGGGGGATTCACTGTGTCTGGAACAGAGCCTGGGTTACATGCAAAAAAAAAAAAAAATATGATGGGAAAGAGACAAGGCCATCGGATTTGGATTACGTTGTGATGATCTTTGGATTCTGGGAAGGGACCTCGTTTGTTAATGTCGGAGTATCCCAAACATACATCATCATCATAGGAATTTTGTCATAGGTAAAAATAAGTAGCTTATGTGAAACATACATGTGAAATCGTATTTAATTACAACCTCATGGGGAAAAAAGTGAAATAAAATGTCCAAAGTGTGGAGTCTGAAATGCGTCGGCTGCAGTTACAGCCAGCGAGGCACCGCTGCCCTCAGGTGCCGGGGGGCTGGATCTGGGACCCGTGCTGGCTCCCCGGCCTCCCTGCAACTCAGCAGTGACTCTGTGAGTCGACTTGCTGTACACCCTTAGCTTGGATTTTTAAAAAAAAGACAAAAATGGAATAATGGCTTTCTTTGAAAAGTTTACCTCTAAGCAAGATCAGGATGATCTCTACTATAGGAAAACTTTCTGTCTTATTCATTTGCCACATTCTTGACCATCTCATGACATATTGCACTTAGGTATGGATGTAAATAGGCTTCCACATGAAGAGAAGAATTTGGATATATTTGATTGAAAATGAAATCTTTGCCGGGCATTTAAGTGACTCTTTGTAAGTAGTGTCTGTTGAAAAATCACTGTAGCAATCCTGAAAGGTCAGGGACTCTTGCTTTTAAAGGCTGCAGCTTTTTAGATATGTATCAGCTGTGTGCAGCGTGGGCCCGTGGGCGCCCCACATCACCCGGCCATGCGCCTTGGCTCTGGCAGGGCTCCCTAGGTTGAGAGGGTAATCGAGGGTCCCACGCCTCCTTGAGAAAAGGACGTCACCTGTATCGCATTGTGTTAGGCTCCTGTGCCTCGGGGGGTTTCGGGCCGGTACTTCCGTTCTTTATTCTCTGACAGACGGGACTACAGCTCCAGCGTCCAAAGGTGCCCCCCATTCTATTGTGCCTCCCCGTCGGGTCTCTGTTGTCCGCGCAGGCTGTCGCCTGCAGTTGTGGCTCTCAATTGGACGCACGCCTTTCTGGTTCACCAGACTGGGGATACTGGGCTGTGTTTCTTGACAGTTTTCCTTTGAGAAAAACAGTGCTTTATGTAAGAATGCATGAGGTCAATCTATAAATGTAGTGGGGGAAAAAATCACTGCTTTACAAATATCTTTGTTTGCTTTATTTTAAACAAAGGCGATATTTCCTTTTTAAATTTTACATTAAATTGTAAAGTAGATTTTTTCTAATTTCCATATTTTATAGAATCCACATGCTCAGATTCATGTGGCTTTTATACCAAGATAAATAAATTTAATACTACATGTCAGAGAAAAGCTGACTAAATGACTCCATGTAGAATGGAAGGCTCTTTATCATAGATCCCTATTGAAAGGAACCAGCAAAAGGTGTTGATAAATGCTACTGACAACAATATTTTTATTTAAAGAACGGTTGCCTTAGTATATGTGTATATCTGCGTACACACACACTTACATGCACCCACATACGTGCGCATGCTACTTGGTTGCAAAGCAGCGAGCAGTCAGATTTAGTGCGACCTCCTTTTGGGTTTGCCTTTAAATTTCAATGGCTGCATGGTTTCTACCTTTATCAAATAAAACTCTGATCCTTTCCAGAATAATTTTGTAAAAGCTTAACTCTAATTTTATTACTTCCTTGTTCAAAAAATGTCCGGGGCGCCCGAACGCCTAGAAACGCCTGCCTGGAGATACGGCCTCCTCAGCCTGTCGGGCTTCCTCCCCGTTCCATGACAGAGAAGGGGATGAAAAAATATTAGGAATCCCACCATTTGCTGCCTGCTGTTTTTTAAAATAGACATATTTTAGATACATAGAACCCAGAAGTAGCGACCGGATTCCAGGTTTCCTCCGGTACACAGGCGGGTTTCGCAGCTGTGTCGCCAGGTGGCAACTCTGCGCACCGCTCGCGGTTCCCGGGGGACTGACAGACGCTTACTGCCGGCCTGAAGGGGGCGCTGTGCTGGAGGGACTGCGAGTTTGGGGGGGCGGGGCATTCGCGCGTGGTCGCAGACTGACCCAGCCCGGCCCTGGGACAGGGACCACGGCGGGGAATGACCGCGGGAGCGCGGGGTGGGCTGGGCGGAGCAGGGCAAAGGGGAAACGGGACAACTGTGATAGAGTAACAATGGTGAAAAATAGCGCCTCGGTCTCTGCTATGTTCCGAGGGGGTAAACAAGCCGTTATTCTGCAGGGTCGTTCACGCCATTTGGTTTAAATAAACACTTCTGAACTCATGTGTCAACTTCCTTCACAGTTGAGAGGCCAGTTTTTGAATAATGTGAAAAAAGGTATTTTTCCTAGGCCTGAATGCATTTCAGATTTTACAGCTGCTGTGTATTATGGGTCTGTGTCATCTGGTATTTTAATTTGGGTGAATCTTGTGGCATAGAATAAGGTACTGTAATTCTAATAGCTTCCCCCTGTCTCATAAGATCATGTTTTCTGTACATTAATTCTATCCTCTTAAAACTTGATGAGACAGTATTGTTTATGCTTTATTAGTCAACATTGGATTAGTTTTATTTACAGTTTTGCCAGTTTTCTTCATTTTTTTCTTTATCTTACCTTTTTTTTTTTTGTCTTAGAATTTCCATGGGAGAACAGTTTACTTTTGCTTGAAATAAATACTTAAATTTTTTCATTCAGTAGGATATATTGTTGGCACACTGTCTTAGCTTTTGTTTCTGAATCTATGCTTGTAGTTTTTCACATTTGAAAAAAATTTTCACTATGTATAAAACACAGGGTTGGTAGTTGTTACTAGTTTCAGCTCACAAAAAAATAAATCAGTGTGGTTTGTCACGATCTGGTGCTACTGGAAAAATCAACAGGAGCCCAGTTATGGTTCATTTGAGGGTAAAAGGTCTTTGGGGAGAAGAGGTTGTTTCAGAGACCTTTTTATCTAAGTCTTTTTATTTATCCTGCTTGGTTTTTATTGTAAATCTGAAACCTACAGGTTGATGCCTTTCGTCATTTTAGGGAATTTCTCATGGTCTCTCCTCGCTTTCTGGAACTCCTGTTAAATATATGTTAAACCTTCTTACTTTATTATCCATGACTCATCTTTCAAACATCCATCTCATTGTTTTTTTTTGGGGGGGGGTTGCATTCTACATAGTTTCCTTGGATTCTGTTTTTGGGTTTCTTGACCTGTCAAATGTGATGTTAGAATGGCCCCACTGAGTTTTGAGCTATGGTTTTACCTTCCATTTCTAGCAGGGTTTTTTTTTTTTTTTTTTTTTAATATTAAGAAAAACTCTGGTCGCTTTTGATTCATTTTCCAATCCTATCTCACATAGTTTGTTATTTCTTTAAACATAGAAGTAGCTGTTTTTGTATTCTGAGAGTCCTGCCATCCAGTTTCTGTGAGTTTGACTGCCGTCTGTGACGGCTGCCGGCTCCGCCCAGAGGGCTTTGTTTCCTGGTATGCTTGCTTTTTTCTCACC